AGGTGAAACGTCTTCAAGCAACTTAAAGAAGTCCAGACGCTTTTCTTTGCAAGCTCCTTTGACTACGATGACCTGGATGACTGAGAACCTTCACAGACATTTCCCCCCCAAACCATTACACCAACACTAGCAGCAGAAGCCTTAATCATATAAGGCAGGATGTTCGTGAGCTGGTGCAAGTCCTAGCTTTAGTTTTCTGTTTTTGACTGACTGACACCCAGAGTGTGGTCTTCTGCTGCTGTAGCCCAGGTTCAGAGATCCTCTTCAGCATACCTTGGTGGAAAAGCAGTTTGTGAAAGCTCAGTGTGAACTTCAGCAGGTCGTCTCGATCGTGTCTACATCCCTAAGTTCAGTTGCTGATGGGCTGATTTTGATATTTGCATTAAAAAGCGGTTGAAAAGATGTGCCTAATAAAGTGGCCAGTGAGTGCATATTTTAAATAAAATTTTAAAAGTGTGTAATTCTTCCTGATGACATCCTCCTCGCTGATCATAACAGTCAGGTGTAATGGAAGCTCCGGCACCCAGAGAGCTGTAAATAGACACCACTGTGCAGGTACACAAGTGTAATCGAACCTCTCCCAGCAGGCATTGCTGCAGTGGATGTTAACTCCCACCTTTCTCTCTCGCACTGCCACCTAAACCACAGGCAGGTTACTTTCCCTGACCCTGGTGAGGAGACGTTTCACTAAAACTTTGATCCTCTAAAGTCAGGCTTTATAAACACTGGTTTAAAGGACATCCGGTTAAGAGCACGTGTACAGAGTGAACCTTCACACAACTATAACTCCTTCTATAAGTGAAAGCTGGTGTATAAATGAATATTGGCTGACCCCCCACTAAATGCAGCTGCAATACTGGCAGCGCATTATTACCTTGTTTTAAAATGTCTTAAGCCGTAGATGCTGGTTTTGCTTATTGTAAATTGCATTTAAGCTTTAATAATGAGTAATAAATCTTAAGTTAAGAAAAAAATGTGCCTTTCCAGGTTGTGTGTGTGTGTGTTAGCCATCCTCAGCCGCTGCTATACACCAGCCAAAGGAACTTTCTACCCAGCAGCTACAAAGCACCTGTGCTTGTTGTTTTATTGCTTATCTATAATACGTGGGTAAATGATCTAACCACTCATAAATAAAGCCTGTCATATTATTAGAAGCTGAAATGAACCATTCAAATTGAGATTCATAGTTGGGTTCACTGATGGAAGTGAATAACTTCACCGTGCTTCTGCAAATGCATGCAAATCTAATGAAAATGTTTTCCCTCCCCAGTTTTCAGCAGTAAGTTTCCTGCCAGAGCTGCCTACCAAGTCGCTGCTCTCCCCAGAGTGAGTGTTAACCACGGCTTTACACACCTTTAGCACTGTATTACATTATGACACACCCACTTTAAAGTCCCTGCTACTGTGCACATATGGATGATGTCATGAATTTCATTTTTATGCTGATTGGAAACAGAAAGGTTGAAAAAGGAGGGATTTGCATTTTATTTTAAACCACAAATTACACCATTAATCATGTTTTGGGAACTTACATTTGCTTACACTGTCACACAGCGGAGACTCTGCTGCTATTTGGACAAATGAGTAAATGTACTGCAAATGCCGTTTTTGGATTCAGTCAAATTGTATAAGCTAAACTCGTATTTTCCTCATGTTCAGTCCTGTTTTTCCACTGTTTGTTCAGTTTGGGTTAAATTTACATTAAACGCCAGGGAAACAGCTGTGCGGGGAAAAAGCACATCCTCACAGTTTCAGAGAAGCTGAATTCAGAGAATGCAGAGGGTAAATAGCAGACAGGTGCTGATCATCAAATGCACTGGATTATCTGATGATCAGCAAGTGTGAACACCTTTGTAAAAGCAGAAGTTTTGGCGGTTTGCTGGTTTGGATCATTCAGCTGTGTGTTATCAAAATGCCAAGCAGGAACATTTGTAATGATCTTATAGGAGCAAATAATGCTGCCTATCAGTCTGACTTTAAGAGAGCTGTATATAAACAAATACCTGCAAACTTCAATGAACTGAAGCGATGCTGGAAAAAAGAGCAAGGCCAAATTCAAGTTATT